GCCATTCTGATTAGAGTAAAACTGAATCCTGGCATTGTTTTGATTTGCATAGCTAAACATTATGAACATTTTTTCCTGTATTTACTGGCCATTCGTACTTCTTTTGAAAATGTCTATTCATGTGCTGATTTTTTGTTTGTGTCATTTGTTTTAAGGCAGTAATTTTTTTACTCCTTTCTATAATATAGATTAGTCCTCTGTCTGCATAGTAACTGATAGACTTCTAGGAAGATGCTGAATTGGTAACCAGCAAAGTAAGAGCCTCTCCAAGAGATCTCTATACTTCTACAGACACAGGAATATAGCAACACGAGGAAGAGAAGGAGGGAGATAGATCACCAGGACCCAGGAAGAATCTGAAGTAAGCACTGAAGCCTGAAGGTAAAGCAAAGAGAAAAACTTCAGCTAAGAAGGTGGTGGCAGGTAGCACTTTCTTTCTTCCTGATTCCACACTCACTGCATGGGAGGGCAGCAAAAACCTACAGATGCACAGTGACTACTGGTCACTCCAGAGGCCTTCCAGGAGCAACATATCAGTGGAGCAGAGCAGAGAATGCAGCAGATTGCAGTGGCTGATGAGTTATTCTGATTCAGCTGTCCTCTAGAAGAAGGCAATTGGCCAGAAGCCATTTTGGAGAAGGGAAAACTGAGCTTAGAAATCAGAGCAACTTCTGCCTGCTTCTAACTGTTCTCATTGTCAGGGTCAGAGAGAGGAGTTCAATTGGCAGGAAGTTAGACATAGATTGGAAGCCAGCAGGGAGCCACACTGGAGCCAGAAGTAAGTATACAGACTGCTACAGACTGAACAGGGCTGGTCCACGATGGCCAGAAACCAGCCTGAACTTCAGGGAAAATAAAGGTGTGGTTGCTCTGGCATTATCCACTACCTTACGTAAAGCTACAGCTGGCTTGCTGAGATTTATTAACTAGGATCGAGACAATTCTCTCTCTCTCTCTCTCTCTCTCTCTCTCTCTCTCTCTCCTTCTGTTTTGATTTATTTTGTTTTTTTCTTGATTGTTATTTTTAGATTAGTGTGAAAATGGTTTATAGCTTTTTCGTTGGCATTCTGTTCTGTTCCTGTTTTAATTTCTTCTTCTGCTCTTTCTCTCTGTCATATTTGCCAGTTTCCCAAAGTTTGTCCTCCAGCTTTGCTTCTAAGCTCTTCTATTTTTCCCACAAGTCCCTTTAACATTGTCTCTCTTGAGGATAAAATCATTATATTGAAGGCTTACTTATTGCATATAATTTTGTGGTTCAGGGAACAAATTAATAGTTACAGTTTGTCATTTTCTAGATTGTTTTTGATTCTATTGTTATTGCTGATTGTACCACACTAGCCAAAGAGACGTAATTGTTCTAACCAATTGTTCTTCCTGGTATATCAAAACTGAGATTGACTAAGAGTCAGTCATAAAAATGTTACAGACAAGTGACAGAGAAACAGGGTTGGCTAAGTAGGCAGCAACTTTTCATCACTAATACATTGAGAAGGTAGATTCTTGCAAATGACTCAAAGCCCAAAAGCCAACTATTCCTGGAAGGCACCTCTGAAAATTAATCATTTCTTAAGGATTCTAAACCCTAGTAATAAAACTATTCACCAAAGGCAATTTAAAAGCATTAGCCCAGGAATTAAACTAGAAAGAAAATGAGAAGACATTTAAATAAAATGCAACTGCAGGCTTCCAGCTCACCAAAGGCAAATCCAGGGGACAATGATTTGAATAAATCCAAAAGCTACATGCCTGGACTCTCTGAGTGGTAACAGCAGAAGTTACAAAGCAAATGAATGATGCTCTAGAAAAAAATCAAATCAGAAATAATTTCTTAGCTAGCTACAGAGATAGCTAAGACAATAATGAAAGACATGCAGAGTGACTCCAGAACAGATAGAGACATCAAAACAGAGGCACCTAGGAAATTGATGCAAATCATGAAAATCTAACACAGGAAAAAAACAGAATCTGTGAAACTGATTCAAATGTATAACCAAGACTTTAAAATTTCCATAGGTATATGTAGCAGAATGAACCAATGTGAGAACAGAATCTCAGATATAGAAGACAAATTACAATTAATGAAAATAAAGATTGCATAAATATGGCAAGGGACTACAAGAAATCAATGCAGCAGCTTCTAGATGATGCAAGAAAGAGTAACATGAATTTGCTGTCAGTGAAAAAAACAGGAGATAGCACAGACGACATAAATAACCTGTTAATGGCAGAAAAATTCTCAACCATGAAAAAGAATTTGATAAACAGATAAGTGAGTCATATAAAATTCCAATTATTCATGTTAAAAAGAAATCTACAGCAAGGCATATAACAGTCAAAATCCCAGAAATTCAACACAAGAAAAGATTATTGAAAGATATTAGGAAAACAAACAAATGACATACAAAGAAAACCCATCAGAATCACAGCAGACTTCTCAGTACAAACACTCAGGTCAGGAGAATTTTGAAGTGAATTTGTTTGCCCTAAAAGGTAACACTATCTAATCCAGACTGATATGCCCCAAAAAACTATTTTTTTTGAAATTTATGAGAAATAAGATACATCCATGACAAAGAAGAGGTCATGAACACTAAGGAAATACATGAACACCATCCAACGCTCCAAAATGTTCTGAAGGACATTCTAAAGAGAGATAACAAGAACTACAATTTCATGAAGCCTAACAGAATGAATCAAGCAATTAAATGGACAAAGGAAAGGAAGTCAACAACAGGAAAATAACATGGAAAGAATAAGTAATGTGCATTAGTTATAACCATCAATGTTAATATTCTCAATTAACCCATAAAAAGAACAGACTGGCAGAATGAATTAAGAAGAGCCAATAAGAAACACCTTCAACTCAAAAAAATTCACACACTGAAAATTAAAGGATGGAAAACTATACTGCATGTGATAGGAAATCAGAAAAAAGCAGTGCTAGCTATTTTACTTGTAGAAAAATTATATTTCAACCAAGATTGAAAGACAGAAAATGTCACTACATCCAAAAAATCCAAGAGGAATACATAACAATCATAAATGTATATGCACCAATACTAGTGCACCCAACTCTATAAAATAAATAATAATGGACATGAAAAATCAATAAAGACTAACACGGTTGTAGTGAGGACCCTCAATATCCCACTGTCACAAAAAGACAGATTGGACAAAAAATCAAGCAGTAAATATTAGAACTGAACCAAAATTTGAATAAATGGACTTAATAGATGTCTATATAGTACTTCACAATATCAGAATACTTATTTTTCTCAGCTTCACGCTGGACATTCTCCAAAATAAATCACATAGAAGCTTATGGAATATGCCTAAATAAATGCAAAGGAACTGATGTTTTCCAATACGTATTATCAGACCATAGTGCAATGAAATGGGAAATCAATCATAAAAACTTCAAAAACACATGGAAATTTAAAAAACCCTCTTGAATAATTAAAGGATCACAGATGCTATGAAAGAAGAAATTAGACAGTTTCTCCAATTTTATAGTAATACTAGTACAACATATCAGAATCCATGGTAAACAATAGAAACACTCCCTTGAGGGAAATTTATTGCAGTGAATCACCATATCAGGAAAAACAGAGTACGTAAGTAAATTCTTAAATAAAGACGTTAACATTAAATCTCAAACTTCTAGAAAAAGAACAGCAAGTTAAGCCCAGTGCTTATACAGGGAGGAATTTATAAAGATCAGGTCAGAAGTTAACCTGTTGAGGACTAAGAAATAAATACAAACAAACAACAAATCAAAGTGTTTGTTTTTTGAAAGATTAAATAAAAATTTTAAACCCTTAGCCAACATTATCAAAAAAGTAAAGAAATAACTCAAATCCATGCAATTAGGAATGAAAAGGTGAAATCACAGCAGATCCTGCAGAAATCCATATCATGAATATCCTCTTTGAGAACTTGTATTCTAATAAGAAGGAAAATGTAGAAGAAATGGATAGATTCCTAGATACATGTGAATTAACAAAGCTAAATCAATAAAATATAAAAATTCTAAATAAACCTATATCTATCAGTGAAATTGAAGATTTAATTAAAAACTTACCAATGAAAACAAAACTGACAGAACTGACAGATTCACTGTTGATTATGCAAGAAATTTAGAGAACATCTAAAGTCATTATTTCTAAACTCTTTAATGAAGTTGAAAGTGAAGGCCAAGGATTTAGCTCAGTGGTACAAGCACCTGCCTGGTAAGCATGAGGTTGTGAGTTTGATCCCTGGTACAAAAAAAAAGTGAAATAATATTCCCAAATTCACTTCTGCAAGCAAGCATTACCTTGATACCAAAACCAGAGAAAAGCCCAACCAAAAACAGAATGACAGGTCATTCCCCTAGTGAACATAGATGCAAAAATCTTCATTTAGATACTGTCAAACAGAATACAGCAAATCATCAAGAAGATCATATACCACGACCAAACAGATTTAATCACAGGGATACAGGAATGGCTCAACACACAGAAGAGTGGCTGACAATGTTTTGTTCCGCTCTGTAGACTGTCTCTTCATTGTACCGATTTGTTCATTTATTGTACAGAAACCTTTTTATTTGCTATAGCGCCTTTTGTTGATTTTTGATATTTTTTCTTGTGACATGAGTTCAGGCAGTCCTCACCTGTGTCTGTGATTTTAAATATTTCTGCTATATTATTATCCAGCAGTTTGAAAATTTTCTGTCTTTATGTGTAGTTTTTTGATTCATTTTGATTTGATTTTACTGCAGAATATGAGATATGGGCCTAGATTTGTTCTTAGGCACATGGATAAATACCTAACAACTTTATTTAAAAATAATATCTATATTAAAATTAAAAATTAAAATTAAATAATATAGATTTATGATGCTTTATCATTAAATCCATGTAATTCACATATAAATTCTTTTTCTTTTCAGTTATAAAATAGATGCATAATCAAGAACAGACACAAAAACATTATATTAGAGTTGCTTTGAAAAGAATTTCTAATTTCAAAATAAAATAAATCTGTCCTTTAGAGTCAATCTTGCAAATGAAATGTAATTCAAGTTAAAATGTATGCTTTAAATATTTATTGAACAATTAACATTATGGGTATAGCTAAGCAATATTCTATACTAAATGCAAAGTTTTCAAATAACTCTCGGTTATGAGTATGTAGAAATTGTGAATCAATAATCTCAGATTAATTATCAAATGATAGTATCAAAGCAAAAGACTTACATAGATATATGCACATAATTTAAAATTTAATAATATACCACCAAAATTAATAAATATTATGAATGTGCTACTGAACATTGCCTGAGATTCATCAATCATATATTACATGACACATTGTTTGTTCTCCTTTCATGAATGATTTCTGGTCATTTGGTTCATGTCAGCAGTTGAACTTGAGAAAGGCCACTTGTTGGTCAAAGAAAGAAAGATGAGGCAGACCTGTCAAAGAAGTACAAACAAAATCCCACATTACAGTTGAGTTTGCAATTATTCTTCAGTAAAATAGAAAAAGAACCAAAGGCAAATAGGTTGATTTTGAAGTAAGCCATTTGTTCTTTGTGAAAACCAAACAATATTTTAAATCTGAAAATGATTCTTTTATATCAAACCACAGCTCTAAGCACTGTCTGCAAAAGCTCATGCAAAAGTATATGCGATGTTTCATCTTTACAGTGCTGATTAACTAAAGCAATGACACCCGCACTTCACTCAAATAAGACTGTAAAGTGGTGTTTAAGTACTTAGTTAGAAGCAGGTCTCTAAAATGTTTTGTATACCATAAAAGATTTTTTTAAATCATACTCTAAAGCAGTTTTATTGCTTAAATTTTCAGGCATAATAATGAAACATGAATATTTCAAGTTAATAGAAAAGCAAACTTTTTTCCCTAACTCCATTTAAACCACTTAGAACTGAGTTTTTCCCTTTTAAATATATTTAGCTAATGCAAGTGGTAACTATTCAATTCGTATGAGATGATTTATGTTTATCAGTTTACACAATCTACCCTGAATATAAAGTAGCATTTTCCCATAAGAATCTGATTTTTTACTGTTGAATATTATATGTTGCTACACTGAACCACTATGTTGTATGCCCAGGACTGCGAGGTTTGTATAAGTGCAAGACAGTGAGTGACTAAACCAGGACTGTCCCAGGCAAACTGAGGTGGTTGGTCACCCAGTGAAAACACATAGTGAATTTTATCTTTAGAAAGAAAAATCAACCAACCAAAACTGACTAACAAAACTACTAACAAAATCATGTTCTACACCATATACACTTGCAGTCTACTTCATCATTCTAGGGAGTCTTTGGGTGCAAGAAAAATATCAGGTTGTCTTAGCTCAAGTGCTCATCAGTGTCATCAGATATGTAAAACATACTAAAGACAGTGATATACAATTTAGTCACCAAGACAAATCAGATCTATAGATATGAATCTCTTCAATCTCACAAATCTTTTCTTTATCCACATTTTAAAAAACCATTACTTTCACTTATGTCTTTATTATTGCTCATGTTGTCTTTTGAAATCAGAGTCAAACCTTGTATTGTGAGTAACTTGGCCAATGAGTATTCTGCTAGACAAGCAAACATTTGTAAGAGTTTTAAATTTGATGCATGAGCAGTATCTTGCAACACAAGTAATACAACATGCCCAGGGTCTACTCATCTGTGTCCTAGTGCTTTAGAATAATTTGTTGAATTGATTTTACAACTTTGACAAAATTTGAATAAATTTGTCTGGTTGACTTCTGTTACTTATTCTGAGGTTATTTTTTAACAATACCTCAGCTTTATCACAACTATGTAAGTTTTAAAATTAGTAATATATTTTGATATTTTAGTTTATTTGCTTTTTCATAGGAAATTTAGAATAACCTTGACTATATGTATAAAAGACATATACAAAAAAACTGAACAAGAGTCCTTGCTGAAATTTTGATAGGAACTGCATTAACCTATAAATAATATATTAACATGAAGACAATTGACATTTTTATTATGCTATTTTTTGAAAAAGAGAAACACATCTATTGGTATCTGATTTCTTATTTAGGCTTTTGAAATTTTCGTACATACTATATACTTGCTTAGATTTATACTTAAGAATTTCAGAATTTGGAATGATCATAATTCATACAGTTTTTTTTTTCTCATTTGTGGTCTCTGCCAGAGTAGAAAATCACTATGTTTTGTGTTTATCTTATATATAGACTTATTGAGCTGATTTACTAGTTTTAGAATTTTAAATGTTTTTTCTAAAATAATATCTCCTTTTTTATTTAAAGGAAAAAAACAGTATAAGGGTACAAGTAATACAGAATTACAAAAAAAGGTAAGAAATCACTAGTTAATAGATTACATATTGCTATCTTAAAAATAGTTGTTCAAGTTACAGGATCAAAGCATACAAAGTGAACATTCAAACAGTGAGACTGCAAATAGTTGTGTTCAATGATCCAACAAAAACTCCGTAATATGGTCATCTATTTTAACACACCTAAACACACTTGCAGATGTATCCTTTAGAGCACTTGTGCCTTCCTCTCTTTTTTACAACAAAATTTACACATTTTGTGTTTTATTACTCCCATAGTTCTTACTACTTTTTTTGGAAAAGAATAAAACCAAATATGACAAAACAAAGTAGTCAGTCAAACAAAGGATAGACATAGCACATGATGTAAAGACAGAATACAAGGTTATCAACAATGGTTACTATAATTCCTCTTGCTTCCTTAAAAAGAATAGCCTATATCATTAGGTATAACAAAATTGAACAAAACAGTAAAGAACAAGACCAATAAAATCTGAACATTGGAAACATTACAGGACTTCAAAAGAAGATAATAGTCAAGCCAGAATGGGCATCATGGTGAATCTTTTTTTTTAATTAAATAATTGTTTAATGAATAAGGGAGAGGATGAGATAAAAGGGGGCATAACAACATAACAATACAGGTTTAAGCATGACACTTTCAGCAACCTAGTGCTTCACCATCAAATAACTCGACTTAATAGTAGTTACCATAGTGTCTTTTTCCTTGAAATATTTTAATATAACTTCATATGCTATAGCATCAAAGACTGTGTAACACCATTCAAGTGGATGAAAGCATTGTAGAGTATTTAGAACCAGCTAACAGAAAAAAAAATGATCAATGGTTTTTATATTATCTCTTTGCCTATAACAATTTTTGTTTATACTACCACATACAATAAAATCCAGCAAGTTACAACATGATAAAATCAGTGGAGACAGAAGAGCCATAGTTTGGTGCGGCTTTAAGACAAGATGGTATTAAATCAGCACTAGCTATTATTATGTCTTATTTCCTTCCAAGTAGCTGTTCATTGAATCTTATTGCCTTAAAAGTAGTTGCCTATACTGTCAAACTTGATACCATCAAACAGAACGGAACAGAGTGTAATCAGTCAAAATAAGATAGTGGGAGTAATACAGGCCTTCAAATCAAGTTAATAGGAAATCAAAAAAGTTACTATAATATATCCTGTCAATTTTTTTATTTTTCCCTTAATTAAAAAAATTAATTAATTTTTTTATGAATAAGGGGGAGATTGAGATAAAAGAGGACATAACAACATAACAATACAAGTCAAAGCATGACAATTTCAGCAACCTAGTGCTTCACCACAAGATATCTCGACTTAATAGTAGTTGCCATAGTGTCTCTTTCCTTGAACTATTTGAATATAACTTCGTATACTATAGCATCAAACATATCAAGACACTGTGAAACCATTCAAGTGAATGAAAGTATTACAGGTATTTAGAACCAGCTAACAGAAAATGAAAAATGGTTTCTAAATTATCTCTTTGCCTATAAAATTTTTGTTTATACTATCACATATAATGAAATCCAGTAAGATACAACATGATAAAACCAATGGAGACAGAAGAGCAACAGTTTGGTGGGACTTCAAAACAAGATGGTATTAAATCAGCACTAGCTATTATCATGTCTTGTTTTCTTCAAAATAACTGTTCATTTTATCACAGACAATAATATCAAACAGCCCAGAATAAAGCCATCCCAATTAATTAGTGAAAACTTTATAAAGCTTCAAAGCCACATAATGGAGAATCATGATTACCATATACTTTTATATATTAGAATCATTTCTTACAATAGGGAAACTATTCGGTATTCATACATGTGAGTTTGATTTATTTCACTTATCAGTATGGTCTCAAGCTGTGTCCATTTATTTATAAATATCTCACTGTGTTCCTTCTTTATAGCTGAGTAGTACTCCTCTGGATAAAAATACCACAACTTTTTAATCCATTCCTCAGTTGATGGACACTTGGGTTTTTTCCAAGATCTGGTAATTACAAATTGTGCTGCTATAAACATAGGTGCATATATATCACTGTGGTATGATGCTTTCAGTTCTTCTGGGAATATGCCTAGAAGTGGAATAGCAGGAACAAATGGGACTCCAATCCCAGCTTTTTGAGAAATCTCCAGACTGACCTCCACAATGGTTGCACCAGTCTACACTCCCACCAACAGTGCAGGAGAGTTCCTTTTTCCCCACAGCCTCTCCAGGATTTGTTGTTGATGGTTTTCTTGAACTTGGCCATTCTTTCAGGAGTGAGATGGAATCTCAGTGTGGTTTTAATTTGCATTTGTCTAATGACTAATGATGATGAACATTTTTTCATGTATTTATTTGCCATTGGTATTTCTTCATCTGAGAAGTGTGTATTCATCTCAGATGCTCTTTTTTTATATTGGATTTTTGAATTTTGGGGGTCTAAGTTTTTTTAACTCTATATGTTTTATACAGAAGTCCTTTGTCTGAGGGAGAGTTCACTAAGATTTTTTCCCAGTTTGTGGGTTTTCTTTTCACTGTGCTGGAGATTTCCTTTGACATGCAGAAACTTTTTAATAAGACATGATTCCAGTTATTGATTCTAGGAAGTATTTCCCGTGCAGTTTGTGTCCTGTTCATGAATTCTCTATCTCCTTGTTTTATACTATCTTTTAATTTTTATGACTTTCATTGTTTTTATTTATACATTACAAAATTCTGATATGAGAAACAACAAGAAATATTTAAATATGTGTGTCAGATATATTTCAATTAACACTATGATCTAAAGTTATATTGACTTTTCTATGAATGACTCAAAGTTATCATTTTTTTATAGTAGAGGAGCTTCATTTTCTTTAACTGTTGATCTGCTGTTGGACATATAACCTGCTTCTAAGGTTTAGTTATTATGAGTTATGCTGCTATAAGCATGAGTAAGCACATGTGAAAGATAACAGTTCTGTCAATTTGAGTAAGATGCACTCAACTAATTGAATTAGGGTAGTTTTGGGTGTGGCTAAAAGGTTGAATGAAAACACAAAATCCTCCCTAGGTGTAAGCATTTTAATGTAATAGTCTTGTACCCTGAA